AAAGTTTGCTGTAAAGAAAAGCAAACAAAATTGTTTCTGCTAAAGCTATCCAGTAAGAAAAATTGATGAGATGGTGAATTTCCGAAATGTGTAGTTGATTATATATATATATATATATATATATATATACAAAGAACCGCTAGATTATTTTATCATACACTAAGTTTGAAAATATTTCATCTATATGGACTTATTGTAACTCATTGCTGCAATGATTGAATGTTCGCCAGTCACTGACACATTATGAATTTCAATCCTGGCCTATACACACCTAAATCTCACTTATTTCGCTAGGCAACAGTAGGCTTGGAAAAGATGGAAGGTCGCAGGTGGCTATTAACATCACTCCTACTAAAACTTGAAAGCTTGGAGTGCTACAATCTGCTGTGAGCCAAAGAAATGGAACAGAATACATGAACTCATTAGAATAATTTCCGTTTAAATAAAACGGATTTTTTGAACACTGGAAATTACTGTTTAGGACGAAATAAGCCGTCTTCTGACCAATGACTTTCATAACTTGTTAGTATTCAAGTTGTGGTTTTACTGTTCAACCTGATTCTGATTGTGATGGCATTTAATTCGGATTAAAAAATGATGTTAAATGACATATAATTTAACATCATTGTATTCTCATTTGTACTGTCTTCCTTTATGTAACAGCTCTAAATGAAGTCACTTCACTATAAGCTAAGAAAATAGAGGAAACTCCATCGTAAAGTGATGAGTAGAGACAAAATTGATGTTTCAACAGAAGACAAGTGTCGAAATATTTGTAATAATGAAACAAATTCTACAGCTGTTTACCTCAACCGTTCTATCACTTGATCTGCTTTTTTTATAACGTCATTTCATCGGTTGGGTATCATCGTATGAAATGTCATCCAAACAGATAAAGACTCCAGATAACTTGGTGCATATAATGATCTTTTCAGTCAGAACACTTGTGTTACTTTATAAAGCTTTGCTAAACAGTTTGTCTATTTTTTTGGTTGGAAGATTTCATCATCAGCTGACATCGTCTAGAGAACCACTGGAAAACCTAGGAGTACTGGACAGCTGTTTCATCCTAGTTTGGGACTCTTCACAGTACACACTCACCCATGGGGTTCGAACCCAGGTCATTCTGGTTACAAGTTGAGCGCGTAGACCATTAAGCCACCGGCACCTGATCCAATGGCCAATGATTTCCAACTTCTGACAGTTCACGACACAGCGCAACCACTAGCCAATGTCTTCAACGAGTATTCATCTTCACACCCGACCTTCTGTACTCTACTAGTCATGACTTCACACTAAAATCCCAAGTAATTATATACCTGAATAGGGCCAGTCGCTAGTAAGCATCTCAGCATAATATGCTTCAATTTTTACTGATCAGTTAGAAAAATATTTGCTTTAAATTGACTGCAGAGTATATTTGACAGAGTTCTTAAATAAAGTAAAAATCAATCAGACTGATACTAAACGTATTAGAAGTCATTAGCCATTCACGGCACAATTTTGTATACAGTAATCGTGCTTCACTAGAACAGATTGTAAATTATATAATTGTATTGAATTACATCGTAAGAAAATGTTGATTATGTGACATTAAAGTGTAGAGATCTGTCGAACACTCATTTGATAATATTTAGGTCATTAATAGCCCTTAGTGTCCTTTTTTAATTTAATGTTAGATCACAAAGTGTTTTCAGTTACATAATCACTGGAAGTCAGTAAATTACATGTTATTTCAATGAATATTGACGATTTAAGGTAGTCATTGCAACAGGCTATAGGAAGTATAATGTTCCGCTCTATTCATGATTAAACATCAGAATATAACCGACTAGTTGCGTATTTGCATCCTGTGTCTAAGAATGATTTCATCGGTATCCAACAGTTATTATATCACTATATACCAGTGAAATAAAAACTTAATATTGTTATTTGCTTTCTAAGTAAACAGTAGACCTTTAAAAAGGATACATTTAAGAACAAGTGTTCATAGCTCTGGAAAATCTATGCGAAGATCCGCAGCACTTATCATGATGAACAAGCTGCGAATATTTAACACTGATGTCAAGTCAATCATTGCTTCACGGACTTGGTGCGCGCATCATGAGAAGCATTTCCAACAGTCTGCTGAAGACTTCCATCAATAGCTGTCCACTATTCTCTCCACTGAACGTCAGGCAGCAAGGCACATTTATAAGCAAAATGGAACTCTGGTGGGCAGCAAACTACCCAGGTACCTATTGTTCAACATATACTCAAAAGCAAATGGAGTGGGACTGGACATATTCTCAGGAGATGCTGAAGTGACATGATACAACAGACCGTTTTATGAAACCTATTTGGGAGTAACATAAATCAAGATTTGTATACAATTGGTGGATGGTGGCTAGCAGTGGAATCCAGGATGCGCATTTCGTCCTATTTGGGACTCGTCAGCTGGATGTACCTGCATTTCTCAGTGAGTGATGATGTTCCCACCGAGGCTCGAACCCAGTGCCCATAGTTTCAAACGCCAAAGCGTTATCCACTAGACCACTTGGGCCTGAGACCGAACACTTCGGTCCAATCAATCGACGGGAAAATCAAGAATTCAATTCAATAATAAATCAAGATTATTCTTAAAAATACTTTTACACCACTCAATTACACTCGCTTTAAGGATGTGTGATGATTCACATGGAATCGAAATCAACTGATCTTCACTTCTCACTCTATTACGTCAGAATCATTTCTATCATACATGTATGGTTTATCCCGGAAGTTTGAAACTAATTAGAAATGTTTCATTTTACAGATTTGAATTTTATTTCTACGGAATAGACAGATATTTTAAGCATAATTTCATGAATTCCCTTGCATAATTTGAATGAATTCACAGTCAAGGTTGCTTCGCAGACATTTTCCTGATTGTTATAATGATTATAAAAATCACATCAAAATTGGTCGACCAAATAAATGAATTATTTATTGAATCACGCAATGATGAAGCGATATTCGTGGACAGTTTTAAAACATATCTAGAATTTCAATTCAGTAATAAACTTTTCATTTATTTTTAAAGAGAAATCAAAATTTCGACTCACTGTCCTAATGATAGTTCTAACTGTCACTAAAGGATAAATAATCATAATGATAATAATAATCATAATGGGGAAAAAGTGAATTCAGATGAATATGGGCGGAGGAGGGGGGTCAATAGCTTAATTCCGTGGTTTCGTTGATTGTACTATCTGTTGTGCTTTGCTATTTTATTCAGTTTTTAAAAAATAGGTAATCTTGGCATTTTTAGAGTGAACTCACCACAGTAATCTACTATGGAGTCATCGTACAGAAGTAGAATATCCTAATGGGATATGATACCACGCAAACAATACCTCAAGTACATCAGTTAAAGGGAATATAATTCTAGAAAAAATGAGTTGTACTTTGCTGGTGTATACTACTGACTGATACACGTAGTTGGATACCACTCATATCAAAGAATGGTCCTCATTAGCTAGACAGAAGTCATCTGAACACCAGAGAGTTGTTTCAGTCACTTGAAGCATAGCCCACCAGCCATGCACATGGATTGCCGCAGTTCAGAGAATCGAATCAGTTTAAACCACTCGATTTCTCGGTAGCTACTTGGATAAAGCGGTAATACATAGAACCAAATACATAATTAGCCGCTACAGATGAGAAATCACCAGAGTTTTCAGATTAATATTCATATGCATATATTCCAAAAATATCCAAATAATATTATTCAATCTGTTTGGTATCATAAATGACAATCAGAAAAGCAGGGGAATATAGTTTAAGGAGTATTTTATCTTAAATTGTTTATACAAATCTGTCTTTCTCTGATTCAGCTTTCTTTGCGGAGACATTCCAGGCAGACTATCAAGGAAATACACTTTCAACGAGCTAGATGACCGTATGATTTTAGGATCATATCAATCTGGCTGAGAAACACCACTGCTTGGGACGAGTGGTTTCCAAACACTCATATCAACCATTAACATAGAGCAGCACGCTATTTCGCCAGCTTTCTTGATCGTTGTTTTTGGTATCAAGCTGATCACACATCGTGATCTGAATATATTTGACTTCCTACGAAACTGTGGTGGATTCTCACCCTAAAATATACAATTTACGAATGAAGAATTTGAGTCTATGACTTGTAATTCTCAATGATCAAAGACTGTAGACTACAACTATCTCCGACTGATAATTTCTAATGGTACCATATGTATACCAATAAAATAGCTGTTTAAGTTATGTTTAGATCTTACTGAAGTAAGTTGTGTTTTTTTGTGAACGCTCTGTGAACGCGATTTTTACATGGCTATCACAAAATTTAGGGCCAAGCGATAAAACCTGTAGATCCACTTCTATCAGAATGATCGCAAAGGGTTACACACATATATTTTATGTTTCAGATGAGTCACATTTAACTGTTTTGTCAAAATTCATATACAGAATTATTTACTTTAAAAAGAAGAATGTCTGAAATACATACTCATATTTCCACAGTCAAATATATTTTTGTGGTAAACTTTTGCTTTTAAGATGCTACTGAAATACGCACAAGAAAAAGAGACATTTAAATGTAAAGGGCTTATGTATTTTGTAACGCCTTAACTCTTTTGCGATTTGTTCATTTAATATAATGCATTATCATATCTTGCTTTTTCTCTGTCACATCTTTGGCCTTCTCATCTTCATCTTTTCAACTGAAAATTATTCAGACCAGAGATAGCATTATTTTTTAAACTTTCCACCGTTAATTAACAATACATACCATGCCTTCTAATGGAATGTGAATGGGAAGTGATGAGTTAAGTGTCTGATAGTGACATGGAGGAGAGGAAAAGAAAGCTTTCAAGAAGTCATAGAGTCAGCTGAGAGTGATAGCAGAGAACTCAATTCAACTAGGATGTACCTCTGAGGCTGTGTGATCCGCTTGGAATACAAAGAATGAATAATATATAACATAATATACAATAAATACTTACTTTTCCAGACATAAGTAAACGTAGTACAAGTAATGAATTATTCTGATGACCACTTTCCACATCTCCATGTGTCGTTGATGACGATGAAGTTGACTTGTCAGTTATTATATGTGTTGTATCCTCTAATAAGTGGTGTGATGTTTCAATATTTGATAGTTCCAGTTTACTACTGAGCTCACTTTTATTGTTATAATTATTGTTATTATTCGTAGCGTTAGTACTATTAGTGCTATTACTGTTTACTGTTGGCAGTAATGCATTCTGTGTGTTGTTTGATGTATACAATTTATCACAAGACAAATGTGGGGCTTGTAATGGCATATTTATAGATGTAGGATACGTATGATATGCACTTAAAAGTGGATTAGTTTCGTTCGGTTGTACATAACAAAATGACTCTGCATTGTTAGGGTAATTTGTATTAGCATAAAATCCATTTGTAAGCGTTATTGGTGGACAGTAAGGATTTTGTGAAGTGGCCTGTGTTGCAAGCATCAATCCTGTTGAAATATTTGATGGACTACCAAGTCCAAGAGGATTAGGATGTGGTAACAATGCTGTATGAAATGTAGAATAGGGTACCACACCTAGGTTATTCGGTATTACATCACCTGACATTCCGAGTGCATACGAAGGTACTACACTTGTGAGTGCCATCCACACAGAGAATGAGCAGTAGAGATCGGCCTGACTTTTATTTCTTCAATTATTCTAAAATAGATGAAAAAGAAATGGAGACAATAAAAATATTTTTTTGTAATTTGAATAATTTAACTTGAAATAGATATTATCATTTGAAAACTAAGGCTTAATACAACAAAGGAAAAAGATGGTCAAAACTCTTTTGGCATTATATACACCTAACAGTCTAAGAAAATCCTGCTCTCACACACCTGTGAATTGCTAGTCCCCTCTCAACTATTCCAAACACAAAGGCTTTGAACAAGTTATGAAATAAATCTCATTTAAAGAAATGTATTCATCTTAGTTTATTCATTCGGTGCATTCTGAGTGGAATACAGGGTTTCAGCCTTTGAAAACTCCATAGCATAGGTGTTTTTACAAAGTGGAATTTCTAGCATTACGCCTAACATCCCCTCTTCTGAACTACTACCGACTAGTAAACTAGGAGAGGTTTAGGAATGCATCGGTTGTGAGTTGGGCTGGAACCTCTCGTGTGGCTTGTAAGCATTCTACCGATACACAATGTGTCTGTGACTTTGGAGGAACTGGAAATCTTTTCAGAGATTTAAACCCGCGGCACGCATTCACAGATGTTACCATGGTGTTATTGAGGCTTACATTCAAACTAATTCACATAATATACCAATCACGTGTACGAAGAAAATGAGTGCAAATGGTGCTAAGGAAAGGTTTTCTTTAAGTGAGGCTAGCAACCGTCCTTTGTTTTACACTAAACTGGCTTAACAGTATATTATCTGTGCACTTGTACTTTTGATAATAAAACTTTCAACACTAGATCATGATTCATAAATGAAGTGTTTAATGATACTTTCAGTATTAAATTTACTACCGAAACTCTAGCTAGTCACATCTTATTTTGTGACTAATCTTTTTAATTAACAAGAGCGTCTGAAATAGACAGAATTCATCACACAACAGAATCAGCCAATTGTTTGAAATCAAGGTTGAATCTGAATACTGAAAAGAATTGACACTGAAAGTAGTCAGGTGCTTAACTGTCTACATACATTAATATATTTTTCATGTTTTATAAAAAATCTATAGTTTGAGGATATACACTGAGATTATTCCGCATCAATTATACATCATACAGTGAAATAGTAATATTTACTTCATAATGAATTTTTGAACTCAAGATTTATCAGTAGCATATAAAAGGAACGTCCATCAACATAAAATTATCATATAGCAAGGAGATAGATTTGACGTCAAGGAGAGCAAATGAACCAGTACTGAGGTAAATAGACGAGATACGTAAAGAAGACTAAGAAAAAATAGACGAAGGGTAGGAGTGTGGCAAGACGGAAGATTTTCGCAAATGATGATTTTAATATGAGGTACACCTAATCTCCCCATATGTGTATTTAAAATTGCTAATAATCATTCTGTTACCAAGCCTCTTCTCTTCTGTTACAACAGAACTCCAGGAATTCACTTTTATAATCCCTGTTATTCTTTGCATAATTATTGTGAGGGCAGAAGAATTTTCCAAATGTCCGGGTCATTGCTATTGTGTATGAAGGGAAACAACAATAACTGAAGCCTTATTTATCGAATCGGCTGAGAATGTATGCAGTAGGTATAACGCAGAACCTCTTGCAAATATTTAGAAAACTCCCCGTCCCTCACGAAAAGTGAGAAGGAAAGACGAACACTACAAAAACCAAGTTTTGAAGTTCTGTAGTTCAAACTGATGTCATTTTGAACAACACTAGATTGTAGCTGAAATATCATTCAATAAATAATACTGTCCCACTGTGTTACATATCCAATAAAAATTTCATATGGAATTGCATAATACCACAGTGCACAGGTTGTACACCTTATAACAACACTTATGGTATGTCACGTAAAGAAAAGTAAGCGTACAACAGGACTATTTTAAATGCTATTTTATACAGTATGAAATAATCAAAATGGGTTTGATTAAACACTGAGAAAATAATAAAACTACTTGAAAAATTAATATCTATCTGTTGTTATTGTTACGGAATGACCCTTCATAGTAAAACATAAAGATTAATATCATACACAATAAAAGCTAATTTATCATGAATTGCATAATCTGTATATGGTGGGAAATCTGTGAAAAAGTAAATAATGTTTTCACATATATCTTAACGACAAGATATGAAGCTTATGAACTTGGAAAGAAAATCTAGAACATGCACCTTCCTGAATGAGGCAGCATAATTAGTGTCATAAGGGAATGAATTTTATGTAAGGAGAAAAATGTCGGCTATTTTTTCCACAACTCATTTATCACATTCTGGTCATTACAATAAAAAGGAAGATATGAAACTGGTCTAAAGGATAAGGTTCTCGTATATCAGCTGTTTTCGCACACAATACGAATATTTTAAGTATTCCACTCTAACAGTCACAGATGTATAAATGAATAGAGATTTGCTATAAGTTCCCATCACTCTATCTCTGTTCCACTCTCTCTCTCTCTCACACGTACTTTAGTCATTATTAAAAGAGCAATGACGATTTTCCTTCATCTTTCACTATATCGCGTCACTAATTCGTTTACTTGAGACATTGTGGACTGCAAGCCTCACTTAAAGAAATTAAAGCTCAAGTTGAACTTCCACATTGCCCAGTTTCTACCTACTGTTTTAAATTTCGATCTTCACAGAATTTAAATTTTATCAACTAAACGTTAGGATAGTATCTTCCTACCAACGTGGTGCAACCCGCTGGTAATGACTACCAACTAAAACTCCGGATGATTTCATCCTGCAGAGAGTTACTAATGAGCACTAGATTAATTTTCAGGTATTGCTTTACAGGGATTTGACTGCTTTCAGGCTAGATTTCATCACGGTCCTACATCAGTCAGGGAACAAGTGAAAGCCAGGGTGTACTTGGTGGCTGTTTGGTCCTAGTTTGATAATCTCTAGACGTACGCATCATTGACTGAGGAATCTTCAGGTCAGTATTTGAGAACGTCAGCATACGTCAATGTTTATCACACGAACTGTGAACTGGGCATTCAACTTTAAGCTAGATCAGAGGTCTTATCAATAAATTTTTAGATATGGTAGAGAAGATTTGTAGCTCAGGTGGATGATTTTGATGTCGTTTTGTTCTCTGAGCTGGATCGTTTGTTTGCGAAGCTTTCATCGCCCTACTAGGAAACATCTTCAGCGCATACTTCAATTTGAAGTGAGCTTTTAGATTTCTCCACGAGTTTATTAGCCGTGTCTCCCAGTGACCTTGAACGTGATTGGTTGTTTTTGTTTGTTTTCACACCTTCTAGGCTACTTGTATTGGGACTGATTGTTTCTTTGACTTGAACTTTGACACTTTCTGTGTGAGGTTTCTTTCTTATCGGTTGATAAATTTTGTCTATCTCTATGTGTCTATTGATTGATGATTCACTGGAATGCCAAGCTTCTCTAGCATTCTTGTTGTTTCCTCTGTCTAATATTTGAACGTTGTCCCAGTCGAATTGATGTCCGTGGTTGTCTGTGTGTAGTGAAATGAGGGAGTGGATATCATGTCTTTTGACGGCTAACTTATGTTCGTGGATACGAAGACGAAGGGGACGTCCACTTTGGCCGATGTAGTGTTTTTCGCAGTTGTTACAGTTTATTTTGTAGATGATGTTGGTTTTGTCTTCTTTCGCTGTTGAGTCTTTTGGTTGACATAGAATTGAGTGAAGCGACTTTGTTGGTTTGTGTACGACGTTAATTCCTAAAGGTTTGAAGAGTCTTGTAGTGATTTCTGAGATATCCTTTATATATGGTAAGGCGATTTTCTTTGTGTTTTCCTTGGTGGCTTTTGTTTTGGTAGGTTGGCTTGGGGGTATATGTCTCTTGATGAAATTCTGTGGATATCCATTCTTTTGGAAGACGTCCATGAGATACTTTTTTTCAAGATTCCTTCTTCTTCTTCTGAATCTCCTTTTTCTTTCTTTTCTCTATCTATGGATGTTATATGAAGTGTGGCAGCTTGAACTATTGCATTTCTCTACAAAGTTCGTTGTTGGAATTCAGTCAGTTAAAAAAAGAAATCGATTAGTTATTATCCAGAGAATTCATTCGTATTTAATGAATTGTTTATTAATTTTTTGCATTTTATTCATTCGTATCATCAAGGCAAATTCTGTTTAAATACTTTTATAAAACATGACAAAAGTAATTATTTCCAGAACCACCTACTGAAGCTATAATTATTCAACAAAGAAAAAAAATGAATATTGAACATTTAGCAACTGAATATGTAACACAAACTTGCGTAGCTTTTAAAGCATTCCATGTCATTCTTGTTAGTATTATTTTTGATTTACTTGCAGTTGGAGTTTTTAAAAATAGCAGAGAGTAAGGTAAATAAGTAAACATTAGTAGTGAGATTTAATTATCCTACTCTCTCCGTCCATTTTTTTCTCATTCGTCATAAAACAAAATCCAAAAAACCATTGAACAGAATAAAAACAATTTGGTATTAAACCGATAAAGTGTACAATTTCTCTCGCGTGAAGAGAGAAACACAACACTAAAGTTTTTTTATCACATTCTGATTAGATAGGGGAAAAATACTTGAAATTTCTGTCCATTAACTGGTTTGTATCGATCAAGAGTTTGAAAATACTGTTCACTTTACCAAATGAAAGTAAAATAATGAATCTGAAAATTTCCTGTGGCTAACTGAGAATGATGAAAATCAGTCTGTGGTTATGTTGGATAGTGTATGCAACATAATACTTTTGAAACCTCTGCACTTTTTTTTCAATTTACAGTTTAATTAATTTATGGCTTCACTTTGGATTTACTTCAACACGCAGCTATTATTATTCCATGATAGAATGGTTTCCTCTTATGAAAATCGGAGAAATAGAATACTAATGGTATTTTAGTTCCTATACACATTCCGCTGTAAAAAAATAAATCAGAACTGAGACATTCATGCCTACCTTTTTTATACAATGCGAACTTAAAGGCGTT